TATCTATGTGTGTGTATCTGTCTGTGACTCTGTGTGTGTGTGTGTGTCTATGTCTTTGTGTCTGTGACTATGTGTCTATATGTCTGTCTGTCTGTGACTGTGCGTGTGCGTGTGCGTGTGCATGTGTGTGTTCGTGTGTGTAACCCAGGACCTTATCCATTGTAGGCATGCACTTCCCCACTCAGCTACACCCTCACCCTCACCTTCTTTGTGTCTCATTGTGGATTAAGAAACGGATTCTAGGGGAAGGGAGAGGGCATGATTTCTTCTGAAGGTAATTACTTTAAATTATGTTCAAACAAATTCCACTATGTAAGCATCTAGTGATTTGATTTAAAGATCCAATAATCTTTCTCTGTTGTTCATTCATGGGTAATCTGAGTCCCTAAACATTTATCCATTCATTCATTCATTCATTCATTCACTCTTTTGGAAGCAGTTCAGAAACAGGCTTGATTTGAAACTTGGTACAGGGAGAAAAGCTATATAGGGTAGGAGTTAATTCCTGGACATCCAAAGCCCCCACTACACAGTGGAGTGATGCCTGACTCAGACCTCCCCAGGCAGAGCTGGGAGTCTGCATGCCATCCTTTGATAACACGTGTGTGCTCAGACGTTCTCTGCTCCTTCTCCAGGATACTGAAGTTTCCAACCAGATCACCCTGGTGGAAGATGTCCTAGCCAAGCTCTGTAAAACCATCTATCCTCTGGCAGATCTGCTTGCCAGGCCACTCCCAGAGGGGGTAGACCCTCTAAAGCTGGAGATCTATCTCACAGATGAAGACTTCGAGGTGAGTGACCCTTGGGAGGGACGATGACACACTGGGAGAACATCTTTTCACGAAGCCACTCACTGGGCATCTCTCGACTCTCTTCTAGTTTGCACTCGACATGACCAGAGATGAATTCAACGCACTGCCCACCTGGAAGCAAGTGAACCTGAAGAAAGCGAAGGGACTGTTCTGAGGGTGAGATGACATGACGGAGCCACAGAGAGGTCATTGCCACCAGACCAGAAAATGGACAGAGATATATATTTGGACTGATATTTTTTCTGTCAAAGAAGAAAGTATTTTTGAATCAGAGTTTTTCAAAACCTGACCTTATTAACTCTATGGCTTGTCCTGGAGTTGAGCATTCTGTAAATGTATAGGAGAACTTTTCAGATTGTTCTTTTCCACAGTTCAGGTGAACTGTAAAGAAAAGCGTCTCTTCCGTTCCCCTCAGCCAAGTGCTGCCTCAGTGGCCGCTCAGCCCTGCCCTCCTGTTCAGGCTCAGTGTTGCCTTTTTTAAAGCAATTCTCTTTATAAAGTGTTATTTTGATAGTTTGTGAATTCTAAATATATATATATTTATATAAACACCGTATAAATCAACTCTGTATTTAACAAAGCAATATGTATTCATTCACTTGCAACTGTTTTCTTTGGTGTCAAAACAATATTACCAGGTAGAGGACTGTGTCGCTTCTGTTGAGTTAGGCCTGCCACCAGTCTGTCCCCTGCTCAGGAGTGCCTCCTTCAGCCTTAGGTCTGGCTTACGCTGAGTTCTGCTTCCGGTGCTAAAATGAACAAAGACTTTGTACTTCCCGGTGTGAACTCTGAAGAATCTATTCGAATCAACCTTTCTACCTTAATGTCTCCCCCAGAAATGTATAGTGCCTTGTTTTATGTACAGTTTATATACAGAAAAGTTTGCTCTGCTTTTTTGATGCTGGTTTGGAACATTACCTACAGTTTTATTCTCGGTAGAAATAAAAACATCTCAATTTCTCATACCCAGTGTAAACATTACACATGTCATTTGTGACACAGGATCCCCAAATAAAATTTCAGAGTAATCACAATTCATTGATCGGTTTACATTGAATTCCAAACCTGATTCTTTGTGGGGGGAAAAAACTATAGAGCTTTCAATCAAGTACCAGTGTGCTACATTGGTACCAACTGCTGAGACTCTGGATTTCCACACAGGGCAGGGATTGTAAGGCGGTGTAAGATTTAATAGACTGTTTGCTCTAAACACCGCGCATGTCCTCAATACCACGGCACAATCTGTACTCATTTTAAGGTTGCAGTGCCTTCTCTCCATACATGAATAGATATGTAAGGAGTTAAAATATAAACTATGGGGCTAGGGTACATAGCTTGGTGGGGAGAGCTTGCTTGGCATGTGCAAGGCTTGGGTTCAATGCCCAGCACTGCTAGAAACTGAAAAAAGACCAAACCTGTGCTGCAAATGGTTACTCTGCCCTTCACCGACCGCTTAGTCTAGTTTAACATGACTGTTAACATCCTAGCCCTCTCCTATGCCCTACTGTGGGACTGTTCCAAGTCTGGAGCCTGCCAGCTGCTCCTGGACCCACAGCATTATGACTGTGTTATATTGTCCAGTCACCAAACATTCCTGCCGTCCTTTCTTAAGAAAGAAGACAATAGCTACATCTCCAGCATCACAGATCTTTGGGCAGGGATGGAGGAGATGGGATTTGAAAACTGTCCAATGCCGTGGACCTTCTGGTGCTGATGCTGTTGTGACAGGAGCTGAAATGGGAAGCACAGAGATGAAGTGAAAGGATGGTGTCATGCACCCAGAAATGATGGGAAGGGGAGGGCTCAAAGTGCATCTTCCACACAGCAGCAAAGAAGGGATGTTTGCAGCCATTACAGCAGCAACCTGAAGAGGGTCACAGAGAGACAGGTCTGGCAGCATCTGCAGCCAGCTCGGGGAGTCAACAGCACAAGACCAGTGTCCCTGCTGCGAGAGAGAGAGAGAGAGAGAGAGAGAGAGAGAGAGAGAGAGAGAGAGAGAGAGAGACAGAGAGAGAGAGAGAGAGACAG